TAATTGATTTTGTGTATTAAATAAAAAATATTTTTCAATTAAAATAGATCTAGTTTTATAAAACAAATTAACAATTGTCTTAATAAAATTTTGAGAAAATAGCTTCTGAAACTATAATTCTTCAAACTTTAGCTATTTATAAATATTTTCAAATCAAATTAAATATTTGATTTTTCAATTTGAATTTGATTTGATTTGAAAATCTAAATTGAATTTGATTTGAAATCAAATATTTGAATCAAATTAAATCAAATATAGAATTTTAGTACTACATATAATTGTAGTATTATAGAAAACTGCAACTATGAAGATTATATAAATAAGTTTTTCAAAACAGAGCAGCATCAACATTCTTGTATCTTTGATTTAGACAATATTAATATCTTTACACTCAATTTGTAGATATAATTCTTTAACTGAATTAAAAAGATACAAATACTTGTTTAGAAGGATAATCATCTTACTAAAGTTAAAGTAATAAGAAAAGTAATAAATATATAGATAGACTGTAATAAAAGTTCAAACATATAGATAAATTAATTATGAAAGTAAAAACATTAATGTCATATATTAAATTATCAAAACTGACTAAAACTGCTCTAAAAAGGCTTTGTGATATAAAAGAATCACCTACTTAGCACCTAAAATTAACATTAAGACTAGGTAAAACTCCATTTATTATATATTAATAAAGTAAAAAAATTAGAACCAGTATTTTGAATTTATTTGCTGCTGATAATAAAACATTTAAAAAAAGTATCTAAATAAAAAAGATTTTAATAATATAAAGTAATAAGATCTTTGTTTTCTTTTAAAAAAATATATTACTGTAAACTGCCGTATAAAAGACCTGGGTCTCTTACATTTCACCAAAAAAATTAATTAGTAAAAAAAAGAAAATTATTAGTAAAAAATGAGGATGGGTCTGATATATTGGGGATCTTGTATATAGCAGTTTATAGTACTATTTTATTTAATTATTTTTTTTTTAATAAAAAAGGATACAATTATTTTTCTTAAACCAATAAAATGAGCTATCTATTTTTATTTGCTTTAAGCTACCCAATATACAGCAATGTTAAATTTGTTATCCTTAGTATTCGAGAGCACTTAGTCTAATAAAAACACAAATAGCTAATGCAATATATTTAAAACTTAAAAACTACTAGATTACAAATCTTAGCATTTCTAGATTTATGAATAAAAATATCTGCATTTAGAACTAAAAATAAAAAAAATAATGTAATTAATTTAGTTTTAGAATTAAATAAATATTTATTTGAAACATCACAGCAAGCAATTATTACTAATAATTTAACTAATGATAGAAATTATTTTGTAATCTATATTTTCTTAATATTTCTATATACAGTTTGTTTTTGACTAACTGTATATATAGGAAAATCAAAAAATATCTTGCAATACCTTTACTTAGCTATATTAATTCTTTATATTTGTAGCAAACACAATGTTCTAAGTATCCAATTTTAAGTATTATTATATGTAATTATTTGTCAATACAAGCAACAAGTGTTGCTTCAAAACAAGCTTTTTTAATCACTGAGAAAACAATTTCAAAAGAAAGATGTAAGCTAGAAGAAGAGATGGCAAGAGCAATTCTTTATCTAAAAAGTTAGATCTATAAAGAAATATGCTAATATGTAGTCAATACACATTATTAAAAACAATTTTTTTTTGTTAATTTGCTTAAATACAGTAGATATTTAACACAAATACCAATATTTTAAAAAAGAAAAATAAGCAAAATTTTTTTATTAACATATTATTTTCTTTTTTGGTTATTACAATATAACAGAAAAGTTCGTAAAATAAAAAAATATATTTCTATTCATAATGTTATATGTTTAAACAAGACAAATGTTAATTGTAAACATAAATGCAATTTTCAAGATTTGATCGATATAAATAGATTGATTTTATTGGGTTGTGATTACATGTTATTATTTAAATTTGGAAATCGAAGAACCATTTTTTAGATCAGGACCAGACCAAACTAAAAATATTTATAAACCAGTTCTTTTATGAACTAAGATGAACTAAACCAAACTAATCTATCTCTAGCAAAATCCAGATAGTATATAGATGAAATATAGTAATACTATAGTAGGTTTGAAGCATAGATAAAGTAGTCTAAGTTCTAATATATATAAAAAATTATAATTGGTATAAACTAAATTTAAAAAAATATGTAAAAAGGTTTATCTAACAATAAGATACCAATACTCTTTCAATGTAATAATAAGATAGTTTTCTTTGAATATAGTATATAATATTAGATTATTTTTGCCAGTATACTATAAAACTTAGTAAAAAAGACAGAATTGCCTAAATAAAGAAAACCAAATAAATACCATAATGCATTGACTAAAAAACCCTGAGATTTAATATAAAAATATCTGAAAAAAAACTTATAGGGAGTATTTTGGAATAATTTTTGGATTTAACCAGAATTACATAATTTTACACCATATATTATACACACACGAAGGGTACTCAAAAAGGGGGTCTTTTAATCAATGCACTACAGTACTATATGTATATAAACTACGAAAATATCCAAGCTGAACTTAAAAAAGCAATTTATTGAAAAAACCAAAAAGGACCAAATTAATTGGATTTAAATTTTTAAATTTAAAATTTTAAAAAAAGTTGGTTTAAAATTTTCATGTTTTGAAACCCAAGTAATTAACTTTATAATAAAAATCTCATTTTATAATATTCTGAAAGTTTATTATAAGGAGTTCTCTACCACCAAAATAATAAGTTATTAGATAGCAAATTAATACTACAAAACTTTTTGTCGAAATGATATATTATTATGATTTATTGTATCTTAAAGTCGAAATTTCAAGTTAACCTATGGCATCTCGAACTATACGTTGAACGCGCTTTTTGAATGCAGGATAATTTTCTCTCCATTCCTTCTGTAAAGAATAAAATTTCGTTTAATGGATTTTGAAAAAATTAAATAAAAATGAATATGCAAAATTCAAATGAATTCTTACGGCAGCTTCAATGTTTGCAGGTGACTCATCATTAGGACTCGAAAGCATTGAAATGACACTTAATAAAATAGTTTCAACAGTATGAACAGGTCTCCATCTTTCACCAGCATCTTCATACCCGTATTTGTCTTCACCTGGAGGATGCTGAAGAAAAGCAGAATAATGAGAATTTAAATACAATTAATCAACAACAACATTTAATATGTCAAATAAGATAATACCAAAATGGAAATGCACACTTCGCCATCGGGATATACTAAAATAAAAGAAAATCAGAATGCGAGATTAAAATTCGCTATTTTGTAACGATACACGTCGTATCACGTACCATTTGTCGCGACCTGAGTCAAATAGTTCTTTTGTTGTGTAGCTTTAAACTTAACGGCAATGGCT